AAGAGCTCCATATGAACTATTTTGAAAAGTCACACTGGAGTACGTCTTCCTTGCCAAATAATTTGATTTCTAGAACTAAATATCTGGGAATAAAGCCCATTACTGTTTTATTTCAATTTTTGGTTACAATAAACTTAAAATATTTTCCTCTTTATGACATATTGTACATATTATATTGTACTTAAAAAAATATTAAAATGATCTGTGTTGGGTACATTTGCCTTATAAAAGCCTGAACTGTATTTCCTCCCTAATACTGTTCTTGTTAACATTTTGGAAAAAAACCTTGAAACCTGTGAACATGAAACTCAACTCCTTGATAAGCCAGGTTTACAGAAGTGTCGATTAACTTTATCTTTGATAGATCTCAGTGGATGCTTCACTTTTGTAAAACTAAGTCACTTCCAGTTAGTGAAATGGCACGCTTGAACTTCAGGCACTGAAAGCAGAACGTAGGCTTCTCTCATCTAAATGGGTGTTATACGCAGTAGCTTTAGAGTCAATAATGGAAAAAATCTGCCTACCTGACTCCAAAAAAATCTGTAAGAAAAAACGCTGTAAGAAAAAAGGCTATACGACCGTTATAGCATTTGTAAGGTATTCTTGGAGTAAATCTCTCACAAACCTATTGATACTAAAGCCAAATTAATCTGTAGTATATCTCAGCTGTCTTCTGCAAAAATACCTTATGCATGAATACGGCTGCTTGTGCCATCTTCATTTTAGCTATTTGAATAAGCATTGGAATTAAGACATCCAAACCGGTGCTGAACTAGAAGAAATTATGTTTTACATGCTGAAACCTTGTTGATAGTCAATTGTCAAAACGTTTTTCTTTTTTTTTCTTCATGATAATCTCTCCAAACAAAGTATTTCATGCCATACCTGTGCACCACATAGTTCATTCTGTCATGTAAAAAAAAAAGACTGCAGAAGAGAAAGGTATCAAAACAAGGTTGTAAAAATAACCTCACTTCTGGTGTTTCTTGGTTCTTGGACTGGGACTGCTTGACTCTGCAATTTTAATGTTTTTTCAAGATTTTCGTGAATCTACTTACAAAGTAAGCCTATCTTTCTCATTTTCATCTTGTTTTCTATTAACCATAGCAATGTATACAGTCAGATTAGTTGATTGATCTCTCACCAGATGACTCATACTCAGCACTTAAAGCTGGACAAAAATGGACTGACTTTCCATTATTTCACTTTTTTCTTTGAGACTGATCTCATCTTATTATTGAAACCATATTCCTAACAACCACAGTAGGATTTGTACCTTACTTTTTAGGAGCTGGTTTTGCCTGTGAACATTTTCTTCCGAGAGGATTCTTGATGAAGCTTTTCTATTGCACATACTATCGGAGACAAACATTTTTGGTGTCAGGACACCCTGTGCTTGGATCTCTTTGGATTTGGAGGTGCCTTTGGAGGGATCTCTCTTTTTCGATGGACCATCAGTAGCAGCAGCAATTGCCTTTCTGGATGCTGTATCTGGAAGAGGGCCAGAGGCCGTTGTGCTGCTCCTGCCCGTGGTGCATTGCTTCCTCTTGCTTCCCAACAGCATGTGTGTTCCTGTGAAAAACAGAAAAAAAACAACCCCAAATTCTATAACATGGGAACATTTTTCTTCTCAACTCTCTAGTCCTCACAATTTTTAGTTCCTGCAAAACTGCTTTCAGTTGTGTATTTTAAAAGTTGTAACTGATACACATTTTATTGTAACTGCCATGCAGCTGTACTGCAACAAAATGTTAACCAATAGAAATAATCACAGAGGATACTCTTCATAAAAATAAACTGTCTTTCTAAATAACTTAGATACACTCTGATGGGCAGCGTGGAATGGGTCAAGATACCTCTGACAAAAATATATGCTATGTGTCTGTCTTTTGTCTCTTATTCACTTGAGAAGAACATTTTAGATTGGTTAAGCCTGATCAAAATTATAGTTATGGATCCAGTGGTGGCTGTGATGGAAACTGAGGTCCAAGTGGTTTCGGGATGAGGGTTTTAACCTCTCTGTAGTGGAGTGGCTGCTGCAGAAGCAGCACCTGTCTCCAACATTTTTAGTGCCCTGTTCTACCTCTGTGCAAAGCCGCAGCAGGAACCAGCAGCCAAAAAGTCCAATTTGTACAAGATACGCTTTCCCCTGAAATTGTTTGGATGAGAAGGATGTTGCACAGCAGCTACAACTGCAGGACCCTGCTTTGTCAAAAGCAATAGAGATAGTCGGGTAAGCTCTGTGCTATACAAACCTTGAAAGATGATTCAAGCTGACCACCACTACTGCCAGCAAAACCCTAGAAAATTAGGCATATAAGAACACAGAAGTGTCCATTTTCCAAGGTGCATTTAGGCAGAATTTTGGAGAGAGAAGAAATAGAAGAGGAAAAAAAAAAAATCAGGAAATTAAATCCAAAGATTAGGGACAACATGGAAAGTGCATCAGGATCAACAAGGGGGCGAGAAAGAAGGTGCAGATGGGAACTATTTTCTGTCCCTATAAATGACTGGTAGGCAGGCACCCACATGGCCATGCACACAGAATGACTCTGCTCTTCTTTTTCAATAATGTGCATAAATTGTCTATTGGCAGTTCTAGTCACAGGACCTAAAGATGTATGTAGATGGAAATGACCAATAGCTATTAAAAAATTGGTGAAAGAAGGCAACTGAGAGATTTGGGAGGTACAAGGGAAAAAAACCCCAACTGGTTTCAGAACTAACCATAAAACCAAACAAACCAGGCAGGGATTATCTCGTTGTCTGTTGTGGACATAATGCATTCAACAAACTACTGGTGCTTCATGACAAACACTTTTTTAAAAGCAGCCACATAATTCTTTTCTCTGCTGACTCATTCTCGGCAGCTGCCCCTCTCCAAACGCTTCTTTCCAATGTCTTGGTTGAGGACAGAGGGAAGATCAGAAGTGTTTTTCTTCTTTGATCCAGTCCACAAGGAAGGATGAAATAATAGAATAGAACCATAGAATTCTTTAGGTTGGAAAAGACCTTTAAGATTATCCAGTCCAACCATTCACCTAACACTACCAAGTCCACCACTAAGCCAGTTAACAGTAGAGTATTAATTAATTTCAGGTTTCCTGGCTTGGTGGCTGGATTATTTTTTAATGAAAGTAAAATTAGAAGGGAATCATTAAGGTTGGAAAGGACCTCTAAGATCATCAGTCCAACCATCAACCCAACACCACCCATGCCCACTAAACCATGTCCCAAAGTGCCACCTCTGCCCGTGTTTTGAACCCCTCCAGGGATGGGGACTCCCCCACCTCTCTGAACAGCCTGTTCCAATGCTTGACCACTCTCTCCATGAACAATTTTTTTCCTAATATCCAATCTAAACCTCCCCTGATGCAGCTTGAGGCCATTTCCTCTCATCCTATCACTTGTTACTTGGGAGAAGAGACCAACACCCACCTCACTATAAATG